ACGTTGTGTTTCTCTTTCTTCTTTTTTTCAGCATGGAATAAACCTATTATTTGTTCCTTTGCAGCCTACACATGCTGACGCAGCTACCCACCTGATTATCTCAGTATAGTGTGCAAAAAAGAAATGGATATCCATGAATTCAAGCATTAAGTTAAACAGATTTGAAAGCCACAATATTACACTGAGTTTTGCGACTGGACTTTCTGAATCGTTTGCAAGATCTGATATGAGTTCATTCCACAGTATTGGAACAACAGAAAACAGAAAACAGACTGGTCTCCTGCATCTGGAACCTTGTACAGAGCCTAGTAAGCTAGTATTGCAAGTAACACTAGTGATAAAACAGTAAACCATGTAGAACTGCAGACTTTTCTCTACAGCAAGTAATGAACAGACGCAATAGTATAATTAATTAAAACAACCACAGAAGAAACACCAATTATTGGTGGTAGCATTTGCATATAGCACTTCTAGTACTGAACTGCCTACCAGTTCTATCCTATATTGTAAATCAAAATATCTCATTACTTGAAATGTCAGGCTACACAGCCTTGCTCTCTTGTTGGTGTAAGTAATGCTGATTTAATTATTTTCAGCCTTTCAAACTTTCTCATGGTTTTCAGAAATTCAGGTGCTGTTTAGAGTGCCTGGGGCTACGTCTGTCTTTGCTGAGGGCATCAGATGCCCCCTCTGTTCTGCCAAGGAATCTAACTAATAAGCAGCTGCTCTTTTCTGGCAGTGGTACAGTTTTCTTCCTCATGGTGCTCACAAACAGATAAGTGGTTGAGCAAAAGGAGTCTAAATAAATGAAGTCTCTCATTTGGAAGACGTGCAGGAGGACTATGTAAATAATGTGCCTTTCATGTGATTTTCAAAGCCCGTGTGCTTCAGAGCAAAATCTGATCCTGATTACCTGAAAGGAATTATAAATGTTTTAAGACGCAGAACTACAGGAGCTAGTTGCAAAGTACTGTAGGTGTGAAAATAGACTGAGCTTGTTTTCCCACTCAGAAACAGTTTGGGGAATTTAAGCCAGTGCCTGAAGGTAGTGTAAGAAAAGGCCCATCAAATTTTGCAAATGTGCAGTATACAGTAGTTGAAAGTCTTACTGGTAGCATTTTAATTCAACCCAGCATGATAGAGGCTGGAATTTTCTGTAAAGCTTAGCTGGATATGTACAGGTATGATAGTTATAAATAGGATTGGATTAAAAACCAGCACCTCCTATGGGAACCCAATGACCAACTGAGAAACAGCAAATAAGGTTTTTGTCTTCAATCCCAGACAATTTTAAGCATACTGTAACCATAGATGTATTGGTTTACCACATTTCAATCTGTTAATGTACAATGGGGGTTTGGCAAACACTGATGTGTATATTAAAATAGTTTTAACTATAGACATTATGTTGTTCAGAGGCCTTTTATGCGTCTGAAAGCTGTAGTAAAATGTATAGAAATCCAGTGCAGTGGTTTATTTCAGCAAATGTCCAGTAAAGCAGGAGAAGACTGCAGTAGGACATACAATGTCCATTCTGAGTAGGCGTGATTTATAGAGGTGCCAGAGGCTGACAATGTTCACACCACAGGGGGACTGTGGAGGGCAGGCAGAGGAGAAGCTGAGAGGATGAGACAACATTAAATTTACTTATTTAAGAGGCAATTAGTCTGTTCCTCATGTGTATCAGTCATGTCATAATTTGTGGAGGAATTGTTCAAAACACAGAACTGATCCATTGCTGCCAAATAAATGTAAAAACCTTTCTATATAATGAACCTTTTGTTGTTGCATGAATAATATCGAGACCAGGAATTATTCTATGGTATATTGGACATCTAAATAGGATTCAATGTATGTTAAAACATTCATGATTTCTGTATTTACATTTATTTATTTTTATTGTGGCTATGGAAATTAACATTAATACACAAAGTTAATGGAAAAACTGTCCTGTTGTTTTCTAGCTGAGGAAGCTTGATAATGTAACCAAAAATGCTATATGGCTCCAACACTCCTGCAGAAAAATAGCTTATTTGTTATATCAGCAATTAACTTTTGTGTGCCTACTGTAGCACAAACCCATAGCTAGTGTTAGGGTTAGGATTCCTACAAAACATAGATACATTTTGATGGCATAGCTGCATTTTAGGAAAGAAATTATACTTAGGAAAAGTGTTATTTCAATGATATCTTCAGATTTGTTTTCTTCCATATACAACTGTTTGCACTGCATTGCTCAAAAAGGGAATTTTGCCTAAATTGTCCTAAAGGCAGAAGTTGGAAAGAAAGTGATAATACAGTTCAAAATCTTGCCTTTGGCATTGAATCACATGCATATTTAAAAATAATGCCCACATTTTTTATGTATTCCTGATTCTTACCCCAGTGAAGCCTGAAACCATGCTCAATGAGATCACCATCGAACACAATATTTCCAGAAGTAGAATACTTGTCGAAGAATAGAATTTTACCCTTGTTGATACACTCTCTTTAGTTTGGCACTCCAATAAGTGGAAGGTTGCATTAATTCTTTGAAGAAATTCTGAACCCTCACCCTAACCTACTGTAGTTTAAATGAGATTGCCCTGAAGGAGCAGGAAAAAGCGGACTTGATGTGACTTGCATTGAGCGAAGGTGCAGCGTATGTGATTCAACAACAACAAAAAAATGACATGATCATGGTCATTCTCAATCTAAACGGAAACAGTCCCACAATCATTTAGGGGTGGTTTAGCCTGGCTTGTCCTTCCTATTTACTGTATTTAAAACGGAGTGAGCACTTTGTCCACAGGAGAAAAGTAAAAATCAGAGAGTACCTCACTAATTGCTCTACGTTCTTATTTTATGTACATGTTAAATATGCGTGATAAAGTTTACTTCATTAGTCTAAATCTAAACCTATCTTTATGCTCATTAGAATATTATGTTGAATTCTTGTCACCACCACATACATACAATTTTCTAGCTTTAGAGAGAATTTAATAAAGAGCATCAAGAATGATTCCAGGTCTCAGAGTATTATCATATACTGTATGAACAGATTAAGGGATCTTATTCTTTTCAGTCTAACACAACAACAACTGAGAAGAGATGTTGTACAGAGTATAATGTATTTATTTTTACGTTATACAGTATGTAAAATCCAAAGAGGTATGGATAAATTAGAGAACTAGGTCAATCAGTAGTGAAATAAGAATGCGTGGTCAAAATAATGAAATTTAAAGAGATGCATTTAGTTTTGGAACGTTGTTATACTGCACCGGTGTTTGAAACAGGTAACCAGGTAGTCAGGCGTTTGTTTTAAGAAACGGCTGTAGGAAATTTCAGATTTGTTCATCCATCCTTTTCTTCCACTTCAGGCCCACTGTGGAGCTAGAGCCTCTCATGGCAAGCCAAGGGCACATGTCAGGGTAATTCCTGAGTGGCACGCGCTAGCCCATCACTCAAACACACTCACACCAAAGCCAGTTTCCCCAGAACTCAGTTAACCTATCAGGATGTTTTTGGATTGTGCGCAGAAATCCACATGAACACAGGGAGAACATAAAACGTCCATGCAGATAGCCCCCCAAGTCCAGAATTGAACCCAGGGCTCCAGCAATTTTTATTTCTACCTGGGCAGTCTGGGCAGCACTTTCTATTAACCTAAAAACGAAAAAAGGCAATACTGCCCTCATGATTAGCCTTTAAAGAAATGACTAAAATAGGAATTAAAAGCTAAACAAGACCTCTGCTTATTTTAATCATAAATCAATTGCTTTGCGCTTGCTTTGATTACTCCAAATGTTTATTTAAAGTTACAGGTCATTTTTCATTACAATGTAAATTAACTGCTTTAATCCTGTGAACAGTTCTGATCTTTATTTCTTTACAACTCTTTTGAGCAGCTTTGATAATAATCTACGGGGTTTGGGAAACTGAGGAAGAGTTCTAGTGTGGGCTCTGGAAAGTCCAAAGGATTGTGGGTTCAGATCTTGGGTGGTAGTCTTCTGGATAAATGGGTGCTTTTCTGGTGGCCATTGTAAACTAGTACGTGACATATCTGCTTAAATAAAGCAGAAATGGTGCAAGTCATCATGGCTTGCTTCATTATTCCTTTCTGTCTTTGAAATATCAGTGGGAAATTAACCCACAATGTAGTGACTGACCAGATCCAACACACTAAAACTGACAAAACACAAAAGCTCACAGTTGTCTCAAAACAAACCAAATCATGTCTCCAGCCAAGCCTTCCACTTATCACATGTGAAAGAATGTTCATGGTTTAGTCTTCTGATTTTCATCTACTGCATATGAAGAGGAACACCCACAGTTCTCTCTGCTGTAGCTGTTGGAACTATTGTGACTCATTTCCTTACCATTTTTAGTCAGATATGAAACTGCTGCCTGCTTTTGAGACTCTTGTAGCAATTCATTTAGAAATATATCACTTGGATTTTGATGTATTATAAAGCTTCTAGCTTTTGTTAGGTGTCTAGAAAAGCTCCCACTTTCTTTCTTTTCCTTTGTAAAACCACCTACAGTACTTCTTGTCTTTTGTAAATCAGGAAGATTGTAATATACATACAGTATCAGGGACTACACTTTCTGTTAAATCACAAAGGAATTAAAAGTATAAACTCAACAGTATAAACAAATTCTTCTTATGCCAGGAAAATAAAAATGTTAATTAGCGTTATCATAGAGAAAAAATACAAATGTACTGTACTGTAGGCCTCCATAAGCTTAATGAATTTGTTGTTGTTTTCTTTTATTTTAATCAATCAAAATTACTAATGCAATAAGACATTTATCTTTGACTTTTCATTATTTATTTTTTATCTTTGTTTTGATGTACAGGAGAAGCTGCTTCTAGTAAAGGTACAGATTGCCGACAAATAAAAATTCCATTGTTTTTGAAACATTGATGTTTTTCTTTTACTATGTAGGAATACAGTATGGAAAATATTTTTGGGAGGTGTGGCTACATCTGATTCTGATATTATTTATTATGTCTGCAGCCTGGAAATGTGAAGCTATCGAAACCAGTAGCTCTATGGACTCAACAAGATGTCTGTAAGTGGCTAAAGAAACACTGTCCAAACCAGTACCAGATCTACAGCAATTCCTTCAAACAGCATGACATAACAGGTACATTTTAAAAATACTATTAAGTTTGAAATCTTTCTAGCGGTATTGTTCCTTTTATCATTTATTTTTATTATTGCTAATCAAACAATACACCAAAGAAGTCACTAAAAGCTAGGAATATTGGCAATTCATTAAAGACTGTTGGTTATTTTGAGTTTGTTTACAGACCTTCATTCAGAAAACTAATCCCTTTGTTGAATCTGTGTACTGAAAAGTATATTTTAAGTTGTGGGACCCGGGTTGTGGCCAAACAAACCCAGCCTTTAAGGGTGAGGCTTCCTTTTTTTTTTCCCAAATCCCTCCGGAAAATCGGTCAGTCTAAAAACAAAACCTACTTTTCACAGAAATAAGGGTCCTGTAGATTTGTATGCTCTCTCACCACATTTTGGTTCCACAGTACTTTTCACCACAAGCCCCCAAACAGCTTGTCTCAGGTCCAGCATTCTCAAGAAGAGGTTTAATTGGACTGCTCCTCCTTGGACCTTTAGCCATAAAGTGGGTTGAAAAAAATTCTGTTTGTGCTCTCAGGGTTGTTCTGCCTCACTAAATCCTTTAGCCGTAAAACTGAACCTAATGTTGTTTGCTTGAACCTGTTATTTTAGTATTTTTGTCTATGAAAGCTTAATTAATTAATTAATTAATTAATTAGTTAATTAGTTAATTAATTAATTAAACAAACCCAAATGTGAATGTATTGGAAGAATGGTGGAAAAAAAGGCAGTGCATCTGGGCATTCATCATTTCTCCAAAAACAGCAACAGCACCAGTAGTGTTACCACCTTTTTTTTCTTGATCTTATAACATCTCAGAGCTCACCTCATCTCAGAGCTCACCTGAAAGGAAAACCAGGTTTCTCCCGTAAGTGGTATAGGTGGACCAGTAGGTTGTGCTTTTCTTTCTGGAACACAATATCTATACCAACGCCCCAGTATGCTGACAGAAGACACTGTGCTGCAGGAGATGTTGACCTTCAAATGAGATGTTTAGGGGTTTTAACTAATTACTCATTAAAGGTCCTTTGTCAGCGTTGTAAGAGTAGGACTATTAAACTTAAGAGTTCTGGTCAAATTCTAGTCTGGATTTGCACAATCTGTCCTTTGTAAAATTCCCCATTAATTGAATTGGTGAAGTAATGTTTTGCTTCTCTGTCTGGTTTGCTGTGTGATGGGGTAGCTAGTGCATAATGGCTGCTGAATGTCACCTACAGTAGGTGGATACTATACTGTAGTGGATAGAAATACAGTATGTGTCTTTTTATAAAAGCAGTTAGGGATCCTTGATGAAAAGTGCTATTTAATTATTGCAATCAGTAATGCTGGAAATAACATCATTTTTTTTGATCCCAGTTTTTCCCTTTAAAGGATTTCCATAGTGTGGATATGTGAATAATTGTTCATGTGAATAATTTTATCTTTTCATCTTTATTACAAAATATTGGTTACATTTGCTTTCATCTACATTGGAAACAAAACAGGCTTTAAATGTCCTATATGACGCACCTCTTGGCATATACGGTACTGTAGGTAGTATGTCTGGAATTTATGCTAAAATATTCAGATTTTACTTCTTCAAAATTGGCAGTGTACTGTACATCAGTCTTCTAGCAACTATTGGAAATAAGATCAGGGATTTCTCATAAGTAGCTGCAATCTAAACCTGTCCAATGGGATACAGAGAGCTCTTGGCCTTAAAGGAGTACTAGATTTCATCTGCATTTCCCTGTTAGTACATTTCACACTTTTTGCATATCCAATTATGTGTGTTCTGCACGGTTATCTGTATTTCTGCTTAGGTGGCTGTTTGCTGACTCTATCCCAGCAGAAACAGCTCTCTGAAGGAGATATCTCAAAGCTGGTTGCCAGGAAATGGAAAGGAGAAACCAATTAGAATTGCAGAATGCTCCAAATGTCATTGGTGAAGAAAGGGTGATTGCGGAGCAACATAGTCACACCGCCTTCAGCCCTGGGAGCATATTTTCTTTTTTCCTGGAATTTTTAGCCTGCAAATTGTGAGCTGAAACAGCAACAAAGTACAAAGGAACTGGACAAGAAAAATCAAAAGGCAGGAACTTTGTTTGATATGAAGCGATATTTAAGCCGACCAAATTCTATAGCCTGAAATGTTCATTAAAAGATCTTCTTTTCATCTGTCCTTAAGGTTTACAATTCAAGTAACATTAAAGGAATCTATGTCATGTTTTAATTTAATTAATGTTCATTGTAAATGTCCACTCAGGGACTACATTTTCATCTGTTGATTCCTGCATTTAGAAATAGAATACTTTTGATAAAGCAAGGTGGTTTAGAATTTTTTGTTCAGTGTATTTTATTCATTGTGAAGTTTATTTTAAACTGGTATATGATGATTACACAGAACAATTCATTTAAATTCATTTAAATATGAGACTGTATTGAGGTCTAATTCTTTTTTTTTCCTTTAACGATGAAAAATACATCTAAAACTGTTAAAAATGTAATAGTACAGTACATCTGTCAGGACCTTCGACACTGAATTCAGTCTGAATCAGTCTGATTAAGCTGTCATTAGAAATTGATTAAAAACACAATTCAGAACTTAATGAAATGTAATTACAAAACATTCCCAACAAAAAGAACATTGGGGCAGCAAATGAGTAAATTGTATAGAGATGTTTGAAATAAAAAAGCAGGCCTAAAGAATAACAATATGTAATCAACCTTAATAAGAGCATATGGGTTAGATGCAGACTTAATTCCACCATTCAACATTAATGTTAGCTATTGTAATACAGCAGACATTTTCAGTCAGGCAGTTCACTTTTATGATGATACATGATGTAGAGAAGAACACCAAAATGACTGCCTATTTTTCATGCGCACATTTGTGAAACTAGTATGTTTTGGTGCTGTCAAAGGAATATTAGTCACAATGTCTGTCATTCATTTGATGAGAGTGAGATGGGTTAAAGAGAAAGTTGCGATTTGCTTCTTCCTTGTGGTTAATACTGAGATAATTACTGGTAGGTATATCAATTTTTGTGTAATTTGCAAAAGAAATGTTGAAAAAAGTATACTTAATACTTAATTAAAGTACTGGAACAGAATGTGGGAGCTTCAAGTAAAGTCAGAACAGTTTTGATTTGAGGGGTTGTGATAATAGGGAGAAATGGTTCGCTTGAGTAAATAGGTTTTACCAGATTAGTAATAATAGCATGAAAGCATGGAACAGATCTTTTCTGCTTAAACCCCCCGTCTATAGAAGGGAATTCACTCAGCAGTCTGGAGATTGCTGAGGAGGTGATGTGCTACAGTACCTGCTAGGTCTGTCAGGAATTGCCAGTGAGGGTACACAACAATAACATGAAAAAGAAAAATGGTCAGATAACCTCCCAAAGCAACTGGGGGAAAAAATAAAACCGTACATCTTCTTCCACGAACGCTACAGTGGATGTACACGATCTCTACCAAGTACCCATTTTTAAGTATACTGAGCATCAAAAGAAAGTTGCCACTCTTCGTTAATATCTGTTTTTAGAAACATTAAGTATAGGGATTGTGCTGGCTGGGATAGGCTCCAGCTCCCCCGTGGACCTGTTTCGGATAAAGCAATTAGAAAATGGATGGATGGAAGTATAGGGATTTTAGATATTAATTAAATATTTTTCAGTACATGTTCATTAACTGATCATTCTTCACCGACCATGATAAACTAGTTATGGTGACCGGTGCAAAATGTGTTGAAAATGTGAGAATGTGATGCTCTACTAGACATCAGCCCCATTGAACATTTATGGGACTTGGCGACGAGTGAACAGCACATGCTTTTTCTGGCTCTATGAGAGGAATAGGACAGGATCCCATAGGACTGCATCTGCAATAGTGTCGAATATGAACAGTGTGTATTGTTTCCAACAGTGATCACTATTCACTTCTAGCCCGTGACTTTCACAGTAGCTTCCTGAAATAATCAACAATGTCCGTTCAATAAAATGTCAGTACACCTGCTGCATAAAAGACTTTGCCATTTTCCTGATAATAGGTTTGTGAGTTGGTAGCAGTTTTAATAAGTTTCTTTTGATGCTCCATATATACAAAACCAGACCTACTGCCATTTGCAAAGTTTTGAAATTTTAAAACTTTACTCCTTTCTGGCATAGTAGTTTGATCAGGTAAAAGTCTTTCTTTCACCACAGTTCCGGTAGTTTTCGAAGGTTTGTAATGACCCACAGTAGAGTTCTCTTTTGTGTAGTAAGAAATGCTCCCAGATTAATTTAAAGCAATCACACTAGCATGCAATCTTGCTTTCCACAAAGATGCCATTCCCTCCATTAACCTTCATTATAGCAAAGTACCAGACTAGAATATATACTGCTGATTCCTATCCTGGAATATAATTAGCATCTAATTTCGACCATAGTATCTGACTCATATCCTTATGGGAACACTTTGTGCATATTTGGAACAATTTGTTCAAAGAATTGCATTTCAGTATTATTCACTCAAAACTATATCATTCCCTCTCTCCTACACTTGTTAAAATACTTATGACCTAAATAAGACATAAAAATAAAAGATTAATGAGTCGATATATAACCAGAGTGCCTGTTTATTGGATAGGTGAAATTTTCTTTTCCTTTTTAACCTCCTTGGGAATCAATACAGCTTCCATCCGAGAATTAATTCACCCAAAAATGCTTCTATTTATTAACTCTTTCCCAGCAACTTCATTAAAACAAATCAATAGCGCTGGAAAAGGAGAACTACTTCTGCTGAATTTTGAATTCCTGCCTCTCCATGTTCTATGAAACTTTGCCACTGGGTTTTTTATCCTTCTATTTTGGTAACAACAGTTAATCACTGAGCAACCTTAGTCTCTTGCTGTGATTTGTTCGGTAGCAGTTCAGTGTAGGTATCCATTATGTCTAAAATAGCATAGTCCTAAGCTTTGAAGTGTAGGCCAGGCTATGCAACAATAGAAGGTGTAAACATATCACAGTTATTTAACGGCTTTAATTCTTTATTGATATATTCCATATATCTAAATATGTGGTTGTTCCAAAAAATCCCAGTTCAGAAGCATAAAGTGGGTCTTCACCTGACACTACTCTATTTGTCCATACATACAAATGTTCTTTAAAAAGCCATGTCTGTAACGTTTGAAGATGATGCAGGTCGCAAGGTTAATTCCCTAACTATTTGGTCTCAAAGGCCTGAGTTTGGATGCTGCGTAGTTCACAAGAGAAATGAATTATCCCTCAGCGGCACACAGGTCTGCTCACAGGCTCATCGTTTATCAGAAATGCCAGTCTTCTCTTGGGGTGAGGCACAGGAAGCTAAAGCAAGAGATTAATTTGCAGAAATGCTCACATGGCAGGTTTCCTGCACTGTCGGTTACATTTATCTCCCTCCTTTCGAAAGTGCTGAATTAAATGATGCATATATCTTACCGTTTTATATGAATATGTGGACAGCAGAATGTTGCCTTGAATCCATTCCACTTCAGCATATTGCATATGAAAATGACAATGATTTTGGATGCAAATGTTCTTGAACTCTTCTTCAAACTTTAGTATGCCGGCTGTGAGTTATGTGCTTCCATCGTTCTCTCCCCAAATGTAATGATGCTTTTATGTGACAATCATCAGGAAATATTTGTTAAAAATTATACATTTCTTTGTATGAAGTTATGTAAACAAAAATTAACAACAAACAAAATTATTTATAACAATATCTACCTACTGTACAGTACTTTATGTGACAACAAAAGGATTAAATAAAAGGATTTCCTGTGAATTAATGGGATTAGTTCATTGTTTCATTAGATATTTGCTGTGAATTCTTTAATTGTTAATAAATGATTTCTAGAAAAATATTATAAACACATTTCCAAAGCATTTTAGGAGTAAACGTTTGACACTATGAATATGAAGAAATTCTAGAAGGGCTGCTGAGATGCTAAAAAGCTTCTAAATAGTTCTTTCATGTATTATGTTAACAATGGAAAAAATAATATGGGCAGAGAATTTTGTGTTGAAAAGTGTGTGTTCTGCCACCTCCATAGATAGTCCTGGCAAATTTAAGAGTGAAACATGCTAAATGCATAAAACTGTGACAAAAGGATCCCAAGCACAAGGCCAAACTACACTTGAATATCTTAAGAGTAAGAAAGTGAATATCCTTGAGTAGCCTAGTCAAAGTCCTGACTTGAATCCTATTGAGAATCTGTAGATAGACTTTAACGCTGAAAAACTGTTGTCCATATATGATCCACAAGAAACGTGAGTGAACCTGTGCAAGTCTGCCAAGGAGAATGGGCAAAGATTGCACTAAGCAGTTGTGCAAGATTGGTAGAGACTGTTCTAAAAAACTTCCATTAACGTTTCCACTAACGATTGAGGACTGAACACCTAGGCAATCAACATATTTCAGTTTTTTTCTCTTTAGTTTTGCTGAAATTTGCAGTAACCTCTCTTACCATTAGTAGTCTTTGATTTGAGCATTCGGGTTTAAAAAATTTGTGCGAATCAAGATGTAATCTCACATATCACCATAGGAAGTGTCTGAATACTTTTGCACAGTAAGCTGCACAAAATATTACAAACCAATTTAGAATCCTGTATTTTTTATATCATTTTTATTATTTTATTTTAATATTTTAAATTTTAATATTTTTTTTAGCATAATTTAGATGTGAGGATATCATGCCATGCCTTAAGTCGTCCCACAAGATACATGATTTGCAGTTGTAAAATACATTTTCTGAGTAAAGTGATTTAATTTTCGTGTTCAAAATTAAATGTGAAAGCATGCTAATAAACTTTTTTTTTACAAAAAAAATCTCTATGATCTTTGCAAGTTCTTTTTCACAATCATGTAAATGGGCAGAGGAATTTAATTATAGGCTTTGTTCGTGGTCACAAATATTAATTAAACCCCAAACCGTTCTAACATCTCGTCTCATTATTCCAAAATTCTCGTTAGAATTATTCAAAATTTCTCACAGTGGACATCTAAATAGCTGGGTGTCTCCTTTCCCAGGGCAAAATAATAGCTTTCCTCACCATCTTGAATACCTGGATAAAATTTACCTGCCAATCATGATGTTCCAAAACAATAATATTATGTTATCACATGACGCTTTGTAAGTCTTTAGTATATCCATAATCATTAATGGAAGTTCAAATGTTTATATAATCCAGCAACATGGAAGATCCAAATACATACGTTTTATTATTGTTTGCCAATGGTCCTTCTGTTGAGAGGCAAGAGGGAGGAAAGAATGTGAGAATGCAGCACAGCTTTGAAAGTGGTCCTTTCAGTCTTCCTTTGCATTGTGTTGTCTGTCTGTGTAGGTATTGATTGGGTTATAGAGTGTGAATGGCATGTAACAGAACTCATGCACTAAGCCAGTTAAGGAGTAACATCAGCCCCTGAAAGGCACACAGTGGACAAGCTCAGCTCTGGTTGGGGACCTAGTCTCTGGGCATGACAGAGTTATCCATTGTCTAGGGAGTGGAGCTGTGTTTGCTCAGAACTCATGAGCAACCAAGTTCAAATCCTGACAGGGGCAGAGTGAGCTGCACGCATTACCTCTGCAGCATTACACTTCCGAACGAGGAGATAGAGAATGACAAATACACATTTGTGGTTTTTCTCCACTATCATTGAGCATCTTAAAACAGCATCTATGCCTCAGTTGAAGTTTGTAGTTTGGCACTTCTCATGACAAGAAATGTGTCCTGTCTAGTTAAGCTCTTGTCTTTCCACTGTGGCCGATTTACTGTGTCATTTTACTTATTCATGGAAATGGAAAGATTTTTTTCCATGAGCCTACAGAGTTTTCAAACTGCAGTTGTAAATACTGTGTATACCATGGTGTTAAATACATAAAGCTAATTATATACTGTATACAGTTTTTTTGCTATCCTTCATTTGTAGCAATGATGCATAGAGTTAATAGCTATACTCCAGAGGGCCTGTTTGTGGTGATTGACATGGCTATGGTGGAGCTATCCGACTCTCCTTTGGCCACTGCTAGACAGCCATTGAATCTGGTGGGTGGCAAAGGAGCTGGAATTTCTGTCCAGTGTATCAGGATCTCCCAGTTGGAACATCTGGTGTAATTTGCCACATTAATCTAGTATTGTAGTGGAAGAGAGTACCCCAGTTCGCATTGCCAATACAGCACAAAGATGGAAAACGAGCTTGTGTAAGCTGGCCTCAATTCCTGCAAAGCATATCTGTAGAACCATTCTCCAGGGCTCCTAGATCCTGTATGAGCAGTGGGATACCAGGGACCACTACTCCAACGTGCTTATTACTTTGCATAAATAGCCATTCCTTCTTAATTTACGTGTCGTTTTATTTTTATTTGGTGCCTATACAAACTACAGTATGTAAGACTTCTGTGTCTGCCTTTCAGTCAAATTAAAATGTGTATTCATATTAAAATTAACTTAAGAAAATTTAATTTATTGAATATTGGACACGGATGTAATTATACCGGACAGTCCGAAGCTCGCATGAATGTAATAGCTGTTATATTCACACTAGAATCATTTGTTTTCCTCAGGACGGGCGCTGATGAGACTGACAGATAAGAAGCTGGAGAGGATGGGTATCCTGCAGGAGAGCCAGAGACAATACATTCTGCAACAGGTCCTGCACTTGAGAGTGAGAGAAGAGGTCCGTAACCTGCAGCTGTTAACACAAGGTACAGCTATACTTACTGTATTTCACCCTGAGCACACAGGCATGTCACCCTTTTCAGTGTCATGGTTCAGTTGACATTGCCGGGCAATCTAAGGTCGTTTTGGAGCGAGACGAATTAATTCTTGTATATGGTACCATGTAATATTCTTTCTTTTTCCTGAAAAACCAATCAACAAACCAAACATAAGAATAAATGATCTGATGTTTCCATTTTATCATAATGCAGTTTTGTTCATGAGGTATTTTCAGGCGACATGCATCGCACAAACAACAGAAGCAAACAGGAAGCAAAAGGATGATATTGTAGAGTTTGGCCTTTGTGTGAAAGGGTTAAGCTCAGCGTGTGCTGGATAATGGAGTCAGGCACCCGTCTTGTGGAATGTTTGCAGCAAAAGTACAGTACGTGGCATTTCAGAACAACCGAAAAGTGGAAACGTCATTCTGTGTTGGTGTTAAAAATATTCTTATTTGTCTTTTCCATTTTGTCTTTAAATATGTGCCCCAGTGTCTTTAACTTAAACACAGCACTTAGAATAGCTCAGAAAGATTTTGTGATATTAAAAAGCCTCATAAATGCTCATATTCAGAGGACAGCAGAAAATATGCTTTTGCATCATTATTTTACTCTCCTGAAAGCTGTCAGAATGAGCTTACTTCAAAACTTCACTGAATTACACTGTGATTTATTTACAATCCTATACTTAAAGTAAAGTAAAACTAAATAATACATTCAAACTTTTAGGAAACATGTTTGAAAGTCCTATAGATATGTTGCAGTACATGAAAATACTATTATGTTAAGCCTATATCTTTGTATTTACAGTATATAATACAATGATAATTAATATAAGATACACTTTAGTAGAATTTAGATTTTACATGGTTTGGATTAATTCTGTGCATGAAAACAATTCCATTTGCTCAAACAGTAGAAATCTTCCTTAGGGAGCAACTCCTATAAAACCGCGTTGTTTATTTTCTCTTGGATGTGGCCCGAGTCTTGTGCAGGAAATCTGGTCAACTTATGTTGGAAGTACCAAATTCCATATAACCTTTTTTTCTACCATTTCCAGGCTTATATCATTTCTGTTTATGCATTTTCTTTACAGTTCATTTTAGTTATTATGTCACTGGTTTGCATCTTTTGTGGTTACGAATAAATGAACTAGAAAAAATATAGTAATCAAAAGAGCCTTCAAGGTGAAATATAAAGGAAAAGGGAAGTGTATTTCTTGGGTACATATTTCAATATGCAGTGCTTCACAGAATGACCTCAGGAATTGTGCATGCCCATTTGTCTCTTCCTTATCACCTGTTTAGTCTTTTTGGAAAGTTTCCAACTGTATGAGAGAGTAAAAAAGTTGCTGATGTAGACAGGTGCTTTAAATTACATTCCCTGCATAAGATGCTTCAATTAAAAAGATATACATACAGGAAACTCCAGTGAAGCTGTGTGAAGTGCAACAAGATAAAAGTTTATTTTGAGAAAAATAATAATTTCATATACGATGAGGCTTCCTCCCTCCTTGAGCCTTTTACAGTGTCAAAATCACCTAGAAGCCCTAAATAGCCTCAAGTTCTCCCACAACGGAAGGCCAAATTCTTGGTATTTGTGAGGGTTAAATAGAATTCTAAGGCAGGTGTGGGGAGTTCGGGAAACACTAATGCAGATACGTGGTCAAGAAACAGGCGTCAAATCCAAGAGAACAACACAATTTGCCAAAGTCAGAAACAAGTGAGGGTCAAGGATAACAAATATGACAGGAGTGGAGAGAACGGCAAAAGGCTGAGCAGTGACTGAGGAGGGAGGCTGCTTTGAAAAGGAGTCTTGTGACAATTGGAAACATGATAATCACCGAAGCAGCGCAGCGCAGAAGTGCATTGCCACAGAAAACGTCAAAAAAAGTGTGAGAGTGTTGACACAGGAAAATCTGCCACTAGGGTTTGAGACTGACCACTGCACAGTGAGAACAATTATCCATTTGAACAGTAAATATTGTACCTTGCAACACAGTATTCACTGCTATGTGGCTTGGGATTGGTAGCTGCCTGAGAGACAGAGAGTGAATTCCAGCAGTATGTAGTAAAACAAGGAGGACAATTTTGAAGTGACTTGAGCAAATCTCTACATTAGTATAAAGTAATTGTGTTTTGTTGATTTAATACTGGAAGACCCGTTAAAGGTACATTGTTTTACTTCTTAACACCATCCAGTTGAGAAACAGGAACCGCTCATAATCTAGGATGCATCTTATAAGGCTCTTGAAATATAGCAGTAGAAAATAGAAGACATTTTCAGAAAGGCTTTTTTTTTTCTTTAAACTAAAAAAAGCTGCCGACGCTAAAAGGCCATACAAAATTAATGCTTCCTGGCATTAAGAGCTGCTACAGCCTGGTCAGATGGCTAATTAAAAATTATATGTGTAGATAGTAATTAACCTTAAAGACTTGTTGCAGTGTTGCTGTATTAATGGATGAATGTTGATGTACCTTAAATGACCTGTATGCCTATTCATGTGTATATCCCAAGAGGATGATTTGTCAGATTCCAAAAGCAAATGCTGGTTTCTGCTATAGCATAGTTGAAATGTGTAACCATCCTTTGTTTGTTTTGTTGTTGTGGTGCCAGTTTATTAAAGTCTAATATGCGTTGTGAACTAAAGAAGCAGACCAGAGCGACTGATAGGAACTGAGATGTTTTGAAGTAGGATTAAACATTAAATAGATCATAAAACAAACATGCCACCGAGAGTAATATGTAATTAGCAAGGAAACAGATATTTTCCATGAAGCGACTATGCTAAAGAACTATGAGTCATGAGTGTGAATGAGGTATACTGTATGTTACTGTAAGTGTATTTCAGTTTTTCCAATAAAATATACTTCTGCAGATTCTGGTATAGATATAACACGATAAACCATGAAATTACTGGACAGAAGCCAAAAACGATACTTGGTGTACATTTTATGGACCACATCTGTTATCCAGGATTACTTCTGAAGGAAAATGAGACCGCTAGAATCTTGGTATTCTAAAAGAAGTTATCAAGTTCCAAATATTTTGAATAAAGTTTTCCTTACTGCTTTGTTTGAATTTCAGTGACAGACCTAGGGTGTTTTGTCCTCACAATCGAGAATCTTTTTTGCCAAATGTACTTTTTGTTTACCATTACTTGTTGTCTGCACCCTATCTTACAGAGTAACAGAAATTAAACAATACAGATACAGTAGAAAATAAATGAAAATGTCCTACAGTACATTGTATTGCATTTCTGCCTCTGCATGTGCAATACGTAATGCATTCCTTCCCATCAGTTTCATGGTAGTAGGGCTCAGCAAACTGAGACTTGCATAGTAATTATTAGATCATAATTACACACGTTGATCTGTGTAATTGCTTTCATTATGGGAACACTTAAGATGACATGACTACTGAAATATTTACAAAATAAATTAAATTGACATTTACAAAATGAATCATGCGTGATCATAATGAAGTGTTAAAAGCTGTATTTATCGGAAGCATTTCAGCTCTGCACACTTCCCATGGAAAGAATTAAAGTCTCAGTCTCAACATAAATCTTCCTTTTCATGTGAACACTGAACTTTTCAATTCTCCTACAGTGCCCTAAACACATATTTCTGATTTTCCCATGCCATGTACAGTAGCTTGGTGTTGCTGCAAAAAAAATCTCAAAATAGATACCTTTTCTGTATCCACTTATTTTCCCTGTGTGTATGTTTTCATTGTAGATATTAGTTTTAGCAAAGCAGATATTAGTAACCACTTGAAAAAAAACATCTCTTGCCGACCAAAAAATAAATTCATTATGCAAACATTTGAATTCCGGTCTCTAGTTTTTTAAAGCTTAGTTTATATTAACCCCCCCCAAAAAAAAACAACAAAACAAAACAAACAAACATAGTTCTAAGATGCATCCCATTTTTTTTAATAGATGAGGTTTAAAATAATGCCACATTTACATTTCTGGTTTCTCAAATTTATTATTGTACGGTGCATCTGAAATATAACACTTAAAAAAACTTTTAGAATACTATAACTTTGGGTGGTGGTATTGACAACTGACAGGTGAGTTGATAAAGTATGTACATGTGGGGCGACGAGTCAAAATGAACAGGTTTGTACTGTAATGATTTTTATTTGTTTAACTGGGGAAGCCAGAACCACATTATCCTAACCACAGTATCATAAACCATAACCGCAGCACTAGAAGCAATGCATAGTTTATCATGGACTGAAATTAAATTACACATTGAATATTGAGGAAAGTAGAACCTTAGATTTGTACTAGGACTGCTTCGTCATTAACACAAATGACTATGCATAAGTCGGATGGGAATACCATCCAGGATATTTTCCTTCTTTTCATCTGTGTTTGGCTGTAGTTCAGCAAGGACCTGGTTATTGAAAATTGATGGTTCTGATGGTCAAGTGTTTTCGTATTTTCTGAATTTTTATTCATATGTGTACATTGCACTTGAAAATAAATCTAACATCTTTACAAAAACAATGTTAAGGTATGTACAGTATATGACTTTACTAAAGTGTTGCTTTGATTAGTTATGTTACATATTCCTATCTTTTGTGCAAGAATGCAAGCATGCAAGCATGGACAGTACTTTGGTACATAATAGACTGCTAACCTCATTTTTCAAAGAACAAATGGGCACACGTGTCACAAGACATTTTTTTTATTCGAAAAGGACACTGTAGCTAGGGGTGACGGATGAATAATAACAGTAATAATGTGTTATTGCATAATTTTCAAAAAACATTCAGATGTCATGAAGCTGCAGTGTACCAATAAAATATAAACGCATTTTACTGTTGAGAACTGTACTGGTATAGGCTATATATGTATCTGATTGGAGTGAAATTAACCTTGAAGAATCATTATCTGTGGTTCAAATGCCGTTCCAATGCCCAAAGGATTTGCAATCCTTTTTTTTATAAGAAAAATAAATCCAAACCATTTTGAT